AACCCAACGTTTATCCCTATTGAATTACTGCCCTCCTTGCCCCCAGTCCACTAACATCGGCTCCCTGCATGGCTGTAGATGCACAAAAGCTTACACACTTCAGGGTATTGTCATCACATCTTGGTATGTACTGGAATCCTGGCAGCTTCTTCTCAGATTCAGAGAGGCATAAACATTAAAGATGAAAATAACAATTCAGGCCTGTCCTTTGGGGTGATTGAGCATGGCTGTTTAATTTGTAATGGTTCAAAAGTTTTGAGATTGTCACACCCAGCAACTATTATACTTTTCTTCTCCCAGCTGCATCTTATTCTTCCCACCTATATAACAAGCTATCTTCCCTTCTCTTGGAAGCTTAGTTATTTCTTCCTCTTCCCCATACCTTTAATAGGTAATGTTTATGTTTTAGGCACCTAAGTTCTTATACAAGTGAGATAACATGCCTGAAGTTTTTAGAATAGTGCTTGGCACACGATAAACATGGATACATGTTGCCTCATATGATATTTCATTTTCATGTTCCCAACAACTCTTGTGATGTACATATTATTATTCCTATTTTGCAGATGAGGAAGTTGAAACTCAGAGACATCAGATAACTTGCCTAGGTTCACATCTTTTAGTTAGGTGGTAGAACCTACTACAAGCTTTGCAAATAATTTTAGATACTGCTCTTCATTCCCTTGTCATAGGAGCTGAATCATGACCATTTGCCTTTTGGTGTATTTTATCTTAAAATTAGTTTTTAACTTGATAGGACCTTTAGAGCAGAGAGCTGCATTTCCCTCTGAGAATTCCACGCTTGTGGAGCTCCTGGCTGCGTGGCCACTGGGCATCCCCAGGGTTGCTGCGCGCTGGCCAGTGCAGGCACGACATCATCACTGCTGAAACAGGCACTGTGACCAGCCCCGTGCTAGGTGCCTTCACATGCGCTTTAATTTAACCCCCAACCTGCCTTGTGAGATGAACGTGACTCAGTAAGGCTCAGAGATATTCACTGTTCAAGTCACTTCACCAGACAGTGACAGAGCCAGAATTCAAACCCAGGTCTGCTTGATTCCAGGGCCCTTGCTGCTTCTGTTGTTCCTCACTGCCAAGGAGTCCTCTCCAAGGCTATTCTCAGAACTTAGATAAAATACAGACTTACCATTTCATATTCTTTAGACTTTGCCCCTGAGAAAGGGTTCACGTGATGCAGTCAGAGGGCTTGTATTGAGGAGCTTCGCGCTGGAGACGTGCTCATGGCTCATGGAGCTGTGGGGATGAATGAAGGAAATGGGTTACTCCACCCCCAAGTACTTCAAACATACCGGAACAGGGTCTAGGTCACTCTGCTTAGTTCTTTGACTACCTTCTTCCAAGGAACCAGTTTTCCCTGCCTCCCTTGGGATCCTAGCATACATAGTTCTGGAGTTTGTCCTATTTAAAATTTATTTTCACTGCCTGCTTTGGAAATTTTTTTCGGCTAAAGTTGTTAAGATTTCAGTACATTCAGGACAGCGATGACATGCTTCAGTCCTCAAGTCTTCTGTGTCTCCTCAGTTAGTAGAAAGGAAATGTAGCCCATCTGTCTGGACTGTATAGAAGAATTTGGAGAAAAAAAAAATAACAGGTAAGAAATGTCCCCTTATTTTATGAGCTGCCTTTATTCTGTTTCATTGATCTACAGCAAAAGGTTTATACAGAAATATTTGGGTTTTCCTCTTCTAATAAGGTGTATTTAAAAAAATCATTTAGAGTGATATTTCTTAAACTTTGAAGCGAATAAAAAGGTTGTCACATTTATTCCCATAAATATATCAAAAAGGCAGTAGATTAGGTGTCTGTGCACCTTAATTTGTCTGTAAAATGAGAGAATTGAACCAGAAATGGAAATGATCTAAGACTATATCCACTGTGAATCTAAAAACATTCACATTATTTGGTTTGTGGAAAAGAGTTGCTGTGGCATCCCCAGACTTGAATTGTTTAGTCAGTTCCCTCTCATTCTCTCCACTGACCCAGCACAAACAGTGAAAAAACGAATGCTCTACAACAGGAGGAAGAAATAGGATAATATGGAGTGGCCCTGTGTTTTGATTTCACTAGGGACAAATGCAGGATCCTAATGTCAGTTGTCTATTTTTTTCTCAAGTCAGTTTCAATAGTTTGTACCTTTCTATATTTCATCCAGGCTACCTAATTTATAGGCAAACAATTGGTCATGGTTTTCCCTTATGACCTTTTTTGTGTCTGTGAGGTCAGTAGTAATGTCTCCTCTCTCATTTATGATTTAAATAATTTGAATCTTCTCTCTTTTTTTCTTGGTCAGTGTAGCTAAAGGTTTATCAGTTTTGTTGATATTTTCAAAGAACCTACTTTTGATTATGTTGATTCTCTTTTTCTATTCTCTATTTCATTTATTTCTGCTTTAATCTTTAGTATTTCCTTTATTTCTCTTGCTCTGCATTCAGTTTACTGAGTTGTTGTTGTTGTTGTTGTTGTTGTTGTTTTCCAGTTTCCTCAGGTGGAAATTTAGGTGATTGGCTTGAGACTTTTAACATCAGCATTTATATCTATAAATTTCCTTGTGAGCATTGTTCTAGCTGCATCCCATAGTATTAGCAATATGTATTTTCCTTTTGATTCATGTCAAAGTATTTTCTAATTTCTCTTGTGATTTCTTCTTTGGCCCATTGGTTATTTAGGAATATGTTACTTTCTACATGTTTGTGAATTTCCCAAATTTATTTCTGTCATTGATATTAATTTCATTTCACTAGGTTTGGAGAACCTATTTTGTATGATTTTAGTCTTTTTAAATTTATTGTGACTTGTCTTATGATCTAACATGGTCTATCCAGGAGGATGTTCTATGTGCACTTGAGAAGAATGTGTCTTTTGCTATTTTAATGTTCCTAATATTGGGAAGTGTTCTGTAGAGGTCTGTTATGTCTAGTTAGTTTATGCTTGTACAAGTCTCCCATTTCCTTGCTAATCTGCTGTCTAGTTGTTCTATCAATATTGAAAGTTGAAGTCTCCAGCTACTATTGTTGAATTATCTATTTTTTTTAACTATTTCTGTTTTTGTTTTATGTATTTTGGAGCTCTGCTATTAGATGCTCTGCTATTAGATGTGTATATATTTATAATCATTTTATATAATTTTATATAATCCACTTCTTCATGGATTGAGTCTTTCATCATTATAAAACTCCACTTTTGTTTCTATTTTTTGTTAAATCTATTTTATCTGTTATTAGGATAGCCATTCCAGCTTTTCTTTTGGTTATTGTTTGCATTGTATATCTTTTTCCATCCTTTTACTTTCAACCTATTTGTGTCTTTCAATCTAAAGTGAGTTTCTTTTATAGCATATAGTCAGATCATGTTTTTAAAATCCATTCTACCAACTTCTGCCTTCTAATTGGAGAGTCTAATCCATCTATATTTAATGTAATTAGTGATGAAGTGGAATCTACATCTTCCACTTTGCTATTTGTTTTTTCTATATCTTATGTCTTTTTCATTCCTCACTCCATTCATTATTGACTTCTTTGTGTTAAATATATAATTTCTAGTGTACCATTTCAATTCCCTTATTTCTTTTACTATATATTTTTGAGTTGTTTTCTTAGTCATTGCCCTGGGATTACATTCTAGTAATTTAATCTTACTTTATAAACTTCTAGTTCAGATTAATGCCAACTTAATTTCATTAGTATACAAAAACTTTGGTTCTCTAAAGCTCCACTCTCACACCTCCCTTTATACTGTTATTGTCACATATTATGTCCTTATACATTTTGTGTTCATCATGTGCATGTTAGGGCATAACTTCAGCACTCAGTGAGATAGTTTACAGCTCTGCCTTAGCTTTCATTTACTGCTTGTGCAGAACCTCAGGATCAGCCACACATGAGAGTTGAGGGACTTCTCAGGTCTTTCCTGACCATGCTCATGTCAGCCCTAAACCTGTACATCACCTTCCAGATTCCCAAGAATATGTCTCATGGCCTTCCAGTTTCCTAAGGATATATTGGAGTGTTTCAAAGTTCCTATGGACATCTTATTCCTCGGCCTTTTCTATTAAGGTTTTTAATTAGGCTATTTTTCCCGCAATTTTTATCCATTGCCTCATGCACCTGTGATGTTAAAACACTTTTCCTGTAATTGTTTTTCACAGACACCCTCTGGGGAGAGGCTTTTAGCACTTGACAGGTCATAGTTGGGTCAAATAAAGACAAGCCTTTCAAGTAAGGTCTTCCATGGAACCACCAGATAGGTCAAATAATGATAGTACATTGGGGATGAGGTTTTGAAGGAGCTCCAGCTCCATTCTGCTCCCTCTGGTACTGAAGGGCTATTTTTCAAGGCTACTCCTGAGCTGAGGAGCAAGAAATGGTCTAGGGCAAGCTAAAACAACACAAATCTCACTGTTCTTACAGAAAGTCAGCCATATTTCCTGAATAAATGCTCCCTGGGTTGCTGAAAGCCTTTAGGCAAATTTCCAGAGTTCTGAAAAAGTTAATTCTGGACACTTTTGCCATATTTTTTGTTGTTGCTTTTATGAAGGGATGAATTTTCAGATGTCTTTACTCCACCATTTTCACTGATGTCACCTACGACATGGATTTAATTTCTAAAGTCTCAATGACCATGGGCTAATTAAATATTTAATCAAGAGAAATGATTAGGGCAAAAGGATAAAGAGAAATGTAATTCTCAAGAGGTTCTGCCAGATAAGTAGATGAAGTTTGAAAAGGCATTTTATATTTAGTTCTCTCAGAATTAAGGTTAAAATAACAAATATTTTAAACCTCTTTTCTTCATAGAAGATAAACACAGGCTTTGTAGTCAGAAATGAGTTTAATTTCCATCTTTACTTCTAACTAGCTTAGTGATCTAGGACAAGTTATATAACCTCTCTGTGCCTCAGTTTCCTCATTTATAAAGTGAGATAATAACATCTACGTGTAAGCTTACTGTGAGACTTAAATGTGAAATGCTAATCACAAGTGCCTGGCAGCCCAATATATCAGTTGTAATAATTGTTATTTTTATAATGTTCTGCAGTATACTGATGATTCTTGAGTAGAGTTAACATAAAGGCAGATTTTCTTCTCTTTCTTCCCATCTTTTTGTTTTGTTTTTGTTTGTTTGCCTGTTTGCTTGCTTTAAAGAATTGAAAAGGAAATCTGTTCTAGCATTTTGGAATAAAATTTGCATCAAAAAATGAATGTATTCATTTTACTGATATGTAAACAAAATGTTATTTTTCAAAAACATTTATTAAATACCTAGTAAATTCCAGGCACTGTGCCAGGCATGGGTATGACAATGACAATAAGGTGTGGTCCCTGCTCTCAAGGAGCTGACAGTCCAGGAGACTGACAAGTGAGCAGGTGATTACATGCAAGGTAACAAAGGCTGTGATGTGATGCAAGAATACCAGTGTGAGTATGTGATGAGCGTTCTCTTCTCTTAGATTTATCCTATTTTCTTTAGCTCTAAAGCCAAGGATTTGGTCCATTTTTTCTTAACTGTGTGTATTAAACCATGATTTTTTTTGAATTTCTAAAGATGAAAGACAAGCATCTGGAATTATGGAGGATAATTGGCAGATTTTTTTTCCTTGGTATCCACTTTTTTTTTCTATTTTTTCTCTTTCTCTTCTCCACTTTATCTTTTAGAAATGCGGGTAATTCCCAAAGGAAGAGTGTTTTACAGAGTCTAAGGGTGATTTATAGGTAAAGACAGAAAATGATTTTCTATTTACCTACAAGTTCCATAGTACAAAATGAATATAAACTTTTCATGCACACGGAAAATGCAGGTAATTTTAATTCCATTGCATTTTTTCAGAATTCTCAATCATAATCCTCTGACCACTGTTGAAGATTCATATCTTTTTAAATTGCCAGCATTAAAATATCTGTAAGTATTACAATAATCTCATGAATCATGAGATAATTTCTGCTCCTATATTTTATGTACATCAAAGATTAAATATTTTGAATTTAGGCTAAAAAGTCATAATTTAAATTTTAACTGGGTTATTGAAAAAAAAGTTGTTGGCAATGAAAAGAGATTAAGAAAGGATGTATGATGGATGGGCAAGACAGCCAGCAGGGGAAGAGAGCAGTGTTGAAGAACACATACAGATATAGAATGTATAAATGCATGTAGGAATATCTTTTATCAAAGAAAGCAATGAGGAATAGGTATTCACTATTAAAAAGAAAAAATAGAGTAAATGGTCAAGAGAGGTGAATGCAATACTCAAGTGGGAAGATAATGGTTAAAAAGTGTATAGGTTCTATTATTCAATGTCATTAATTTGATGATGCAAATGAACATAATTACATTTCTTCAATAAGAGCTCTCTAGAATTATCTTCAATGGCAAATTACTCTTGAGTTGGCTTGTTTTATAGAGAAGCCAAAATTGAAGTAATCATATGTCCTTGAAATATCTTTTTAAGTATAGAATTTTCATATTGGGGTTGATATCATGACTGCTTGGGCTTTCTCCTTCAGAGATCTGGGAACAACACAAGTCCCACTTACAACAATTGAGAACATCCTCATGGCGACTCTTGAGCTGGAAAAACTGTAAGTTATTTTTTTTCTTAAATTTATTTTCACTTATTTGTTTCTTTAGGTTTATATTTTCTTAAGTCAGGTTTATTGAAGTATAATTTTCATGTAATAAAATTCACCCTTTTTAAGTGTACAGTTCAATGAGTTGTGACAAATGTATAGTTATGTAGCCACCATCCCATTCCCAACATAGAATATTTCTGTCACCCTAAAAAGGCTTCTCATGTTCCTCTGCAATCAACCCCCTCCTCCCACCACCAGTCCCTGGCAACCACCAATCTAATTTCAGTTCCTATAATTTTGCCTTTTCCAGACTGTCTTATAAATAAAATCATATAGTGTATAGCCTCTTGTCTTTGGCTACTTTCAATTACCATAATTTTTTTGAGATTATGCTACTATCTGTGTTGTATCTATAAGTACAGTAGGTCCTCTCCTCATCCACAGATTCAACCAACCACAGATGGGGGAATATTTGGAAAAAATAAGACATACAAAATAACAATATAACAATAAAAACAATATAAATTAAAAAATATAGTATAAATTCTGCTCGTAAAGAATTCTGAAAGAAAAAAAAATATAGTATAACATCTATTTATATAGCATTTATACTGTATTAGGTATTCTAAGTAATCTAGAAATGATTTAAATTAAAAGTTAAAGTAAAGTATACTGGAGATTATATGCAAATAGTATATAATTTAATACAGAGATTTGAGCATCCACAGATTTCGTATCTGCAGAGAGTCCTCGAACCAATCCCCCATTGATATTGAGGGACAAATGTTCATTCCTTTTTATTGCTGAGTAGTATTCCAATTGTATAGATCTATCAGTTTATCCACTCATCAGTTTACGGATATTTGGGTTGTTTACAATTTTTTGGCAATTATGAATAAAGCTGCTAAAAACACTCATATGCATGAAACATATATTTTCATTTCTTAAATACCTATTGGTGGGATTGCTGCATCACATGCTAAGTGCATATTTAACTTGTTAAGAAACTGCTAAACTGTTTCCTAAAGTGGCTGCACCATTTTGCATTCCCATCAGCACTGTGAAAGTTCCAGTTGTTTCACATCATCAGCAGTTCTTTATATTTCAGTTTTTTTAAAAAAAAACTATAGCCTTTCTATTACTAGGTGTGTAGTGGAATCCGTTTTTTTGTTTTGTTTTGTTTTGTTTGAGACAGAGTCTCACTTTGTTGCCCAAGCTAGAGTGAGTGCCCTGGAGTCAGCCTAGCTCACAGCAACCTCAAACTCCTGGGCTCAAGCAATCCTACTGCCTCAACCTCCCAAGTATTTGGGACCACAGGCATGCGCCATCATGCCTGGCTAATTTTTTTCTATATATATTAGTTGGCCAATGAATTTCTTTCTATTTATAGTAGAGACGGGGTCTCGCTCTTGCTCAGGCTGTTTTTGAACTCCTGACCTCAAGCAATCCAACTGCCTCAGCCTCCCAGAGTGCTAGGATTATAGGCATGAGCCACCCTGCCTGGCCTCACTATGGTTTTAATTTGCATTTCATTAGTAGCTGATGGTGTTGAATGTCTATTCATGTGCAAATATCTTCTTTACTGAATTGTCTGTTCAAATCAGATCCTGTATTTTAATTAGATATTTATCTTCTTATTTAATTTTAAGGGTACTTTTTATACTCTAGGTATAAGTCCTTTCAGATATGTGTTTAGTAAATATCTTCTCTCAGGTTGTGGTTTGTCTTTTCCTTCTATTAAAAGTGTTTTCTGAAAAATAGAAGTTTTTAATTTTGATGAACTCTCATCTAGCAACTTTTTTCTTGTGTGCTTTATGCTTTTTTGTGTCTTATCTAAGGCATGTTTGTCAAAGAACTCATTGTCTAATCCAAGGTAACAAAGATTTTTCTCCTCTTTCCTTCCAGAAATTGTATAGTTATTAATACCTTTAGGTCTATGATTCATTTTAAATTAATTTTCATGTATGGCGTGAAGTATTTCAATTTTTTGCAGTTTTAAAACATATTTCTTTAGGGTCCTGTTGTGGTAGTTTGATCCGCAACTTACCACAGCTTAAATTGTGGCCCCTCCAATATGGCAAGCTAAATAGAAACTTGCTATTTTTCCAAGGCTAGGTGAGGAGACTACACAAGCCTAGTATGGAAAAAGGCCCTTCATTTAGCACTCTCTTCCAGTTGTTTCTGTCAGATCACTCTCTTATTTTCACCATGTGGTCAGATCCATCTTACTGCTCTGGCCTCATCTTTCTCAACGTCTTGCAGGGTCTTCCACATTAGCTAGATGGCCTTCCTCTCTGGGTTGTCAAAGTCCTCATCATCAATCAGCTTTCTCATCAATCAGGTAGTGGGGTTCTGTCTGCTTTTTTCTTGACCAGTAGTGGATAGGATAAGTGTTCTCATTCTCTGTAGCCATTTGCCACCAAGGCCATAAAGAGATTAAAGCAACTGCCATATTGGAGTTCATTATTGGAAGTCCTCAGGAGTTTACACACTTATATACAAAGTAAGCTGGCCAGCTCATGTGAGTCTTAACTCCTGTATAATAGTTTGTTTGTTGTTGTTTTTTTAAGAGACGGGGTCTCACTCTGTTGCCTAGGTTGGAGTGCAATGGCACAATCATAGCTCACTATAACCTCCAACTCTTGGGCTCAAGCAATCCTCCAGCCTCAGCCTCATGAATAACTGGGGCTACAAGCATGCACCACCATGTCCAGTTAATTTATTTTTAGTTTTGTTTTTTGTAGAGAGAGGGTCTTGCTATGTTGGCTAGGCTGGTCTTGGACTCCTGGCCTCAAGCGACCCTGCCACCTTGGCCTCCCAAAGCACTGGGATTACAGTCATGAGCCACCACACCCAGCTGTGTAATGGACTTTAATGCAGAATTGAAAAATTATTCTCAAATAAGGATATTCTATACCTCAGGTCATTTGTAGTCTCAAAGATTTGTCAGTATATATTAAAACAATTCTTTAAGTTTATCATTACTTGGATAATTTCTAGTTCAGACATTTTAATGAGTAATAAAAACTACAGTACTTCCTATGACATGTCTTTACTAAAAATATTCCCTTGTGATTATATTCAAGTTGATTGAGGAACATTGTATAAAACAATTGGCTCGGCCGGGCGCAGTGGCTCACACCTGTAATCCTAGAACTCTGGGAGGCTGAGGCGGGTGGATTGCTCGAGGTCAGGAGTTCGAAACCAGCCTGAGCAAGAGCGAGACCCTGTCTCTACTATAAATAGAAAGAAATTAATTGGCCAACTAATATATATAGAAAAAATTAGCCGGTGGCGCATACCTGTAGTCCCAGCTACTCAGGAGGCTGAGGCAGGAGGATTGCTTGAGCCCAGGAGTTTGAGGTTGCTGTGAGCTAGGCTGACGCCAGGGCACTCACTCTAGCCTGGGCAACAAAGTGAGACTCTGTCTCAAAAAAAAAAACAAACAAACAAAAAAAAAACAATTGGCTTTACTGCTTCAAAAATGTCAGTGCCATAAAAGATTTTTAAAAGATGGGGAATAGTTGGCCGGGCGCTGTGGCTCACGCCTGTAATCCTAGCTCTTGGGAGGCCGAGGCGGGCGGATTGCTCAAGGTCAGGAGTTCAAAACCAGCCTGAGCAAGAGCCAGACCCCGTCTCTACTATAAATAGAAATTAATTGGCCAACTGATATATATATAAAAAATTAGCCGGGCATGGTGGCGCATGCCTGTAGTCCCAGCTACTCGGGAGGCTGAGGCAGAAGGATCACTCAAGCCCAGGAGTTTGAGGTTGCTGTGAGCTAGGCTGACGCCACGGCACTCATTCTAGCCTGGACAACAAAGTGAGACTCTGTCTCAAAAAAAAAAAAAAAAAAAAAAAAGATGGGGAATAGTTCTAAACTGAAGGAGACTAAAGAATGATGAAACTTAAATGCAATATTTAATGTTTGATTAGATTCTGGATTTTTTTTAAATGCCATGACATGATCAAGACAATTGGGAAAATTTGTGTATGGACTATATAGTAAACAATTATATTAACATTAAATTTCATTTTGGGTGACAATAGTATCACGGTTATGTAGGCAAATGCCTTGGTTCTTAGGGGCTGCACACTAAAGTATTTAGTGGTGAAGGGTCATTATGTCTGCAACTTTCTCTCAAATGGTTTGCCCAGAAAATGGATTGCCACATAGAAAGCCAATGTGGCAAAGTGTTAACAATTGTTGAATCCAGATGAAAGGTATGTAAGATGTTCATTATACTATTATTTCAAGTTTTTGTAGATTTGAAAATTTTCAGAATAAAAATTTGGAGCCAGGAAAGGAATAACAAAAACTTTGTGTCAAAGTTCAGATTGGTATATATGTAAAATGTTAGGTTACTGTTCTGGGTCCTTTCTTTTTATATGAAGATCAGAGGCTTCCATTGGACCCAAAGGAATAATATTAATCACCTATAATTAGTCCTTTATACATGTGAAAGATGTATCAGGCCAACTTATTGGATGCTGTTTTAATCTAAAAGTCTATATATCATACTCCCAATTCACAGCTTTATATGTATCCATGAAACACACTTCTGTTTTCATGGTCCTAATGTGAGCCTGATAAAGTCATCCTTTTGGAGGGTGCAGAGAATACCTCAACCAACTCAAGGTAGGAGAGCATTATTTTTTTCTGGCAGCCTCCACAAGTTACCAACTGTAGCAGTTAACATGTATTGAGCATTCACTGGGTGACAGGCACTTTTCAGGTATTGATTCATTTGATTCTCACAGCTTATGAGAGGTAGATACCATCATAATGAGGAGGCTAAGGAATAGATATTAAGCAATTTTTCCAAGTTCACATTATTAGCAGAGCTGGTATTTGAGCCTAGTCTGGCTATGGAATCTGTATTCTTTTTTTTTTTCTTTCTTTCTTTTTTTGAGACAGAATCTCACTCTATTGCCCAGGCTACAGTGCCCTGGCATCAGCCTAGCTCACAGCAACCTCAAACTGCTGGGCTCAAGTACTCCTTCTGCCCTAGCCTCCCAAGTAGCTGGGACTACAGGCATGCGCCACCATGCCTGGCTAATTTTTTTTGTATATATTTTTAGTTGACCAATTAATTTCTTTCTATTTTCAGTAGAGACGGGGTCTTGCTCTTGCTCAGGCTGGTCTCAAATTCCTGAGCTCAAATGATCTGCCCACCTCGGCCTTAGATCTGTATTGTTAAGCACCATGCTATACAGTTTAAGGGTAACCTTGAGAATTTACTCCAGTTACAGAGACTTTTTAGCTTCTTGAAACTGCCCCAGTAAACCACAACAATAAGCTAAACAATTATCTTGGTTATCTTCTTTGCCCAAATTTATATTTTGACCAAATCAAGCCTACCAGAAAGGAAAGAATAGAACAACGTACACCCATGAAACCTTCATATGGATTCAATAGTTAACATACATACTTTTCTTTCTTTCTTTCAAATATTAAACCAACATTGCATATTCTAAGGATAAACACCACTTCATCACAATATATTATCTTTGTATATATTGAATTTGATTTGCTAAAATTTTGTTTGGAATATTTGCCTATATGTTCATGAGGGATATTGGTCTATAGTTTTTTCTTATATGTCTAATTTTGATAAGGTAAAAGCTGACCTTATAAATGAATGGGAAATATTCACTTCTCTTCAATTTTCTGGAAGAGTTTGTATAGAATTGGTATTATTCAATTTATTTAATAGTGATACTTAAGTTACATATTGATACTTTAGTAAACTTTAGTAATTTATGTCTTTAAAGGAATTTGTCCATTTCATCTTGAGTTGAATTTATTGGTATAAAGTATTTTATAATAATTCCTTATTATCATTTTAATATCTATAAAGTCTATAGTGATGTTATCCCTTTCATTCCTGATATTAACAATTTGTGTCTTCTCTCTTCTTGATCATTCTAGAGGTTTATCAATTTTATTGATCTTCTCTAAGAACCATCTTTTTGTTCCACTGATTTCTTTAATTTTTTTTTTTTTTTTTTTTTTGAGACAGGGTCTCACTCTGTTGCTCAGGCTAGAGTGCAGTGGCATCATCATAGCTCACAGCAATCTCAAATTACTGGGCTCCAGCAATCCTCCTGCTTCAGCCTCCCAAGTAGGTGGAACTACAGGCATGCGCCACCACACCTTGCTAATTTTAAACTTTTTTGGAGAGACGGAGTCTCACTATGATGAGCAGGCTGGTGTCAAACTCCTGGGCTCAAGTGATCCTCTCACCGCCTCAGCTTCCCAAAGTGCTGGGATTACAGGCATGAGCCACTGCACCCAGCCTGATTCCATTTTTTTTGTTTTTCATTTTATTTCACTTATTTTACTTTGATCTTTATTTCCTTTCTTCTCCTTATTCTGGGATTAATTTGCTCTTCCTTTTTTTGATTTGTTAAGGTAGAAGCTGAAGAAACTGAGTACTGCTTTAGCATCATCCTACATGTTGACCTGTTGTGTTTTCAGTTTCAGTCAGTTCAAAATGGTTTTTAATTTCCGTTTTGATTTCTTTGATCCATGGGGTTGTGTAGAAATGTGTTGTTTAGGCCAGGCATGGTGTCTTATGCCTGTAATCCTAGTACTTTGGGAGGCCGAGGAGAGAGAATCACTTGAGGCCAGGAATTCAAGACCAGCCTGAGCAACACAGCGAGACTCCATGCCTATCAAAAGTAGAAAAAATATCTGGGTGTGATGGCATGTGCCTGCGGTCCTAGCTACTTGGGAGGCTGAGGCTGGAGGACTGCTTCAGCCCAGGAGTTTGTGGTTAAATTGAGCTATGATGATGCCACTGCACTCTAGCCAATAGAGCTAGACCAAGAAAGAAAGAAGGAAGGAAGAGGAAGAAGGAGGAGGAAGAAGAGAAGGGAGGGGGGAGGAAGGAGGCGAGGAGGGAAGGGGAGGAGGGAGAGGGAGGGAGAGAGAGAAGAGAGAGAGAGAGAGAGAGAGAGAAAGAAAGAAAGAAAGAAAGAAAGAAAGAAAGAAAGAAAGAAAGAAAGAAAGAAAGAAAGAAAGAAAGAAAGGTGTTGTTTACTTTCCAATATTTAGGAATTTTTCAGATCTTTCTGTTGATTTCTAATTTAATTCCATTATAGTCAGAGAAGAGAGAACCTACATTGAATGACTTAAATCCTTTTAAATATATTGAAATTAGTTTTATGGCACAGAATGTAACTTGTGGCCCAATTCACAAAAATGCTGTGCTCATTTTTGTTGTTGTTTTATTTTGTTTCTTCTTATGTTTCATTTTAGGTAGTTTCTATTGCAATGCCTTCATGTTCACTGATCTTTTCTTCTGAAGACTGCCATTAATTGCATACTGTGTATTTTTCATCTAGACATTGTAGTTTTTAATACCTAGTTCAATCTAGGTCTGTTTTATATCTTCCATGCCTCTACTTAACATTTTTAGTCTTTAAGTTTTTGAAATAACTGTTTTAATGTCCTTGTCTGGTCATTTTAACATCCGTGTAGGTTCTGAGTTGGTTTTGATTGATTGCTTTTTTCCTTCAATATGGTCATATTTTCTTGCTTCTTTGCATGCTTAGTGATTTTGTGTTTGTTCTAGACATTGTGAATTTGAGTTTGTTGAGAGTACCCATTGCCCCATGAATCATGAGGTTTTCCAGTCTAGCTTGTCATAATAGGCACTATTCCTAACCCTGTGCAATATCTGATTATTCTTCTGTCTAATCCTTTTGGGTGGTTCTTTTCCTAGCCCCAAGTAGTGTCCTCACACACATGCCCCAATCAGTACTTTGCTGAATACTAAGGAAATCCCTCTGCCTATCCCAGAATTCTTTCTATTTGCCTCTTTTCTCTCTAGTACTCTGCAAGGTGTGAATTCTAGCCACCTTGGTTTTCCCAGACTCTCAGCTCCATTTCCTTAATCAGAGAGTCCATCAGTCTATCCCTGAGTTTCCTCTGCCTGCACCAAGCCCTGGAAACTCTCTCTAATCAGTAAGCTAGGGCAGTCACAGGTCACACTCCATTTATTTCCCATCTCACAGAGATCACTGTCCTTCATTGCCTGATGTCTAATGTCTTGAAAACTGTTGTTTCATATATTTTATCCAGCATTTTTGTTGTTTCAGGCACAAGGTTCAATGTCCCTGTTACGCCGTCTTGACCAGAAGCCAATACTATTCTTTAAATCTGTTTTGTTTTGATCCAGATACAATCAAAGATGAGGCATTGCATGTCATGTATTTGTTTCCTTTTGTCTAAAATATTTCTCTACTTTTTCTTGGTCTTTTATGACATTGGCGCTTGTGAAAAGTCTAAGATAGTTGTCTTATAAATTCTCCCACGATCTGGATTTGTCTCTTTCCTCATGATTAGATTCAGGTTGAACATTTTTGGGAAGAATACTGCATAGGTGATGTATCCTTCCTACCTCATGACTTCAGGTGGCCCATAATGCTAAGTTTAATCACTTGATTAAGGTGTTATCTTCCAGATCTCTCCATTGTAAAGTTATATTTTCCCTTGGTAATTAATAAATAATCTCTGGGGCGATACTTTGAGATCAGTGAAGATCCTGCTCTCAAACATCTTTTCACCCAACTGTGTATCCATGGTGATCCTTATCTGAATCACTTATTATGTTGTTGGTTACAAAATGACACTTTTCTAATTCTATCATTCTTCTGTATTTAATAGCTGGCATTATTCTGTAAAGAAAGACCCCTCCCTTTTATTTTAGAGTATCATTGTGAATTTATGGATTCTTCTTTACAGTAATTATGTGGTACCTTATTATCATCATTATTCTTTTGAATGCTCAAATTATCTAGATTTGGCCAATGCAATCTCCATTATTGTTTAACCTCATAATATGGATTAAACTAAGCTGTTATTTATGCCCAGAGCAATTTCTAATATTTACCACTCCCAATAGCAATTGAGAAAGGGACTTCAGAAGTTGGGGGCTTTTTCAGACTCTCTTAGAGGTCGGTCTTCTTCCTGTGTACTCTCAACCCAAATTGAGACTTTTGAGTTGGGAGAAGATAACTTCTGAATTAAACTACAAATCAATATCACCCAATTTTAATCCCTTTTATTTTTTTTATTTTTTTAAGAGACAAGTTCTTGCTATGTTGCCCAGGCTGGTCTTGAACTCCTAGCCTCAAATGGTCCTCCTTCCTCAGCCTCCCATGGGGCTAGAATTACAGGTGTAATCTACCACTCCTGGCAACTCTAATCTCTATCATCTTTTTTCTAGGCATACCATACCCACAGCCACGCTCACCAACCTCTGTCCTCCTTCCTATTGGCCATCTGGTTCCTACTCAACAACTGACTAGGCCATATGCCTCAAAAACTCCTTTTTGCCTACACCTGTGGTAGCCTTGGCCTGCCTCTTCTATCAACTGAAGTAAACCCTTTACATTAATTTAATTCTCTATGTTTCCATTTATAGGATCTTACCTAGCCGTCTTGCCTGCTGCCTCTGCCAATTTAAAAATAATATTGAGGCTGTCTGCAAGACAGTGAAGCTACATTGTGAGAATTCATGTCTGACAAACACCACAGATTGTCGTGAGTCTAAATTGCCTGATGATAATTCTTTAAATTTTTATTTATTTGCTTTTTAATTTTAATTGATAGTTTTTAAGCTAATAATGCAACTGCTTTATTTTTATTCATTCGTTCAGAGTTAAACTCCCTAAATTTCTGAACTACTCCCTTGCTGAAAGACAAGTTCTCAGTTATTATTACATAACTTACTAATGTAACTGTTCCACATCCATAAAGGACCAGGAGGAACGAATGGAAGGGGAAGGGCATAACATTATAGGCCACACACTGTGTACTGTGCTCTTTGCTTGGTGTTTTGCCCCCTGGCGATAACTTGTCCATACAGCACATCACAGTTTGTAAACTGGTTTTATATGCATTAGATCTCAAGTGCCCTCTGCCTTATAGGACAGGTGTAGATCTGGTTTTGGTTTGTTTGTTATTATAATTTTATAAAAGAGTAAAAGTGACACTGTTTTATTTGGAGCCTGAGAGTTTCTGGTCCATAGCCAGAAAATGCTACCTGGCTCTTCTAATGGAATGGAGGGCTTTTCCATTCTTCAGCCTGTCCAACTCTGAACTTATTCTGAATCTTAAGCTTTTCTAGCCACAGAGCAAACACTCAGGTGTTTTTAAGTGTTCTTCTATATACTAGGTTTATTAGAGCTAACTTTATGACTTCCAAAATGCAACTGCTTTCATGTCCAGACAACTTGAATACGGGTCTCTACCAGTGACACAGGGCAGATAATCAATAAGAACTCTTTACTGCTTATATAAACACAGTGTCACTCAGTTTCCAAAATAGTTCTTCACCAATGATATTATATTATTCCCTTCTGCCCCAGAGGTGAGCAGACCAAACATTTTTAATCTTGTTTTACAGATGAGGGGAAACAAGATCAGAGGCGTAAAGTGCTATAGTCTATTGCCAGGTCTTCTGTCCCCAGTTCTGGGTTCTCCACAAGCCCATGATCCTCCTTTCTCATAGTGCTTACCTACTCCTCGGACCCTCACCACCACCATAGAAACTTTTAATTCTGGAAAAGAAACCCACCTACACCACCATGGTACACGTGCCTTGCACGCAGTTAGAAGCTTTGGATGGTTCCCCAAGTAAAGCTGGAAATTACAGAAATGAAATGAAAGCAAAGTAGGCATCTGATAAAAGTTGCTTTTTCCCTTCTGCCTCAAGTAATTACCTCAAATAATGTTTATCCAGAAATTTCTGTCATTCCTTAGATTTACTGAACATTCCACATAGCTATGTAATCTGTCAAATTAAAAATCTCTTACCCCTCCAGCAATAAGGAGTCTGCAGACTTTTCTCAAAAAAAAATAAATAAAAATAAAAATCTCTTAACATCCACCCCAGATTCCTGCCCAAATTTAAGGAAAGAACCATGATGGACCTAGTGGTTTTTTTGTGTGGAGAGCCTCCTATTATGGGTGCTAGTGTATATTGCAGCAGGGGCCAAGCAGAGGAATGGGGGGGGGAGAAAAAGCGTCCAGAGGAGGACCCCTTAGCAGTGGGCGTGTGACCTCTGCTCTTGCTCCCCTCACAGGACTGTCTTTGTCCTGTTCTTCTGAGATGGCAGGGAGAACGCAAGCATGCCCCTCTGCCTGTGAGGCAGGACAGCATGGGCTACGGGAGCGTGAGAACGCAGATCCGCAGAGAGGCTGGCTCATGAGGAGCACTTGGCTTCCGCCAAGGGCTTTTACTGAGCGCTGGTCTGTTGGGGACCAATGGAATAATCCTAAATAGAGTTGCTATATTTCACATTATGAGATGTTCTCAGCAGGTAGCCACTTTTTCAAAAGATGTCTTTGTCTCCTTTTGTTGTTGCCATTTCATAGGTTTAAGTTTGGGTCAGTTTTTCTCCTCTCTAAATGGCACTCACCTGTTTGGTGTCTGATCATTTATTTGAGTGGGATATATGGTTGTGGACTGACAAAAAGCTATTCCATCAGTCCTCCATTATCAAAAACAGTCTCTTCTCTTTTGACAGTTGAAGAAGCATCTCTAGGGAATGTAGGAGGATCTACGCTCATGAAGGTATTACAAGCCCGGAAGAAGCACACCAGCACTGAGCTGACTATTGAGCCAGAGACACCCGCAGATAAAAATGGCATCAGCTTGTCAGGCTTCACGAATGAGCCGCTGGACTTCAATGATGAAAGCGATGTTATTAGTGCACTAAATTACATATTGCCTTACTTCTCAGAGGGAAATCTAGAAGATGTAGAATCAACGTTATTACCGTTCATTAAACTACTTTTTTCAAATGTACAAGATGGAGACAAGCCCCGGAGTTATCTGAAAAACAATACAAAGACCACCTCTCTTGAACCTGCATTCCACAATTCAACTTACACAAATAAACTGAGGAAACTCTATTTTCTAGAAAATTTGTTAGATGCAGAAATTCAAGACAAAATTGATGAGGTTAAAAAGAAAGAAAAAACTGCCATGCTTATGCAGTCTAGCCTTTTCGGTCCCAAATTTAAACGCCAAATCTTTCCAAAAAAATTGGAAACTCTTCAACCACAGGAAAGCAGCCTGGCACAGATTGAGGGTATAAGGAAAAAGAGGCAGAGGATGAAGATAGTCCTGAAGGGGCCCAAGGACATAAGGAAAAAGGTCTTAGAAGAGGAGAGAATCAGGAGGAAACAGAGTGCCTGGCCCATTGCAAAGAAAATTGCCGAAGCGAGAAGGCTTGGGAGACCAGTGCCCAGTGAACTGGAACAGCTTCACGCGGTACAGAGGCCCAGGAAGTTTGTGGAAAGCTCCTTCCACACCACGCCTTCGTTCACACAGGAGCATAAGACAGCTGTCTCTTCTTTACAGAAACAGGACTCAGTGGGTGTGTCTTCTGCTCCCACCACTGCGAAACCCCCACCTGAGGTTAAAAACAAATCAGAAGACTTGACCGACACCATTTTTGTTTTAGAAGATGCAAATGCTAGAGTTAAAAGTATGGAAGCTGGTCAGCCAATCGTACATTCCAGAAAAAAATACCACTTTCATAAAACTCATTCCCATGTGGGCCATAGAACACCCAAGGCCAAAGTAAGTCAAGAGGTCAAAAAGGAAAGTTTGCTCAAAAGATTGATATGGAGGCAAAACAGGCCTCCATTCTCTCCAGTAAGGAGCCTCATAAATTCCCCTTCACGTGAAGCTTTTTCATCTTCAGGAGATCCGAGTCCTCAAGAGAATCCTTTACCTGAATTACTTGCTCTTTCACAACCTTCTATGGAAAACATTAGTACATCCGCTGACGGAAATACTTTTAAAGACATTTCTGTAGAAAACGTTGCTGTGCCCCAAGTAACCTTACCTGAAAGCACAACCTACAAGAATCCTTCTGCTGCAGAGTCCACTGGGGCTGCATTCAACATAATACCAGCGGTTAAAGAAGCCAATGAAACCCAATGGGAATACCACAACATGGGCACTGACTCAACCCCCATGCCCAAAAGCTTGACTTATCCACTGCTCTCGTCCCCAGGTGATCAGTTTGAAATTCAGCTAAACCAGCAGCTACAATCCCTCATCCCCAACAACGACGTGCGAAGGCTCATTGCTCACGTCATCCGGACTTTGAAAATGGACTGTTCTGAGAGCCATGTGCAGTTGGCCTGTGCAAAGCTCATCTCTAGAACAGGCCTCCTGATGAAGCTTCTCAGTGAGCAGCAAGAAGTAAAAGTATCCAAGGCAGAATGGGACACGGATCAATGGAAAACAGAGAACTATATCAACGAGAGCACAGAAGCCCAGAGCGAACAAAAAGAGCAGGAGTCCAGTGAGGTGAGTACAACTGCAGAAACAGGATGGACTTTTCCATCATTGAGGATAGGCCATGAAAACACCCATGCAGCAAGACCCAGGTAGACAAGTCCATATTTTGTCTGGGCCATGAGAGTGATCTCCCACTTTGTTCATTTAGGGAATGAAGTAGACCTAACACTCAAGATAAAGAAATTGTAGAACAAAATGCTTAATAACAAGATTATGTAAGACATTAGATTTGGTATGTTCTTTAAGAACCTCTAAGCTACTTACCTGGAAGAATGGGGGTTTGAATAGTTAGCTTTCATCCTTTCCATCTCTTTGTTTTGTTCTGAATTGTTTTTTCTTTTTCTTTTTTTTTTCCAGCTCACTAAAGAAGTTCCAGGATATGGCTATAACAACAAACTAATCTTGGCAATATCTGTTACTGTAGTAGTGATGATTTTGATTATAATTTTCTGTCTCATTGAGGTAAGGATAACAATTAATTCAGGTTTCCAGAATGCATCCTTTATAATAGATTCAGAGCCCATGAATTAAAAATCAAATCTACTTTCCTACCTACTATTACTTGACATTCCTCTTCAGTCACTAAGACTGAGGTATGCTTTATCTTTTATTGCAAAGTATATACCAAGGATTTTTAAAGTAACCCCACTCCCAGGAGATCGCTGTGGATTGAAACCAAGTTAACAAACCATGACACTATTTTGAGAAGTTAGGTTTAAGAAAGTGAAAGTTGATATGATAGCAAAAATTTCCAACCCAAAACTATGTCAACAATTTGATGTACTCACCAATGACTCTCATTCTACCACTGATTTCTTTCTTTGTTGCCGAAATGATGAGAGATGTATTATCTCCACCCTCATGGAGCTGTCATCACCCTGGGTAGAAAGGACACAGTCAAAAATAGAAGTGTCATCTTGTAGATTCATTAGATTCAGGTAGCATCCTCCTCCAGTGTGTAAGGCATTGTCTAAATAGGTCCAGTTAAATCCTGCATCCAGCTACTCTGAGGTGTGTCATATTAACAGTGGCTCCTTCCTGGAGCTTGCCTCTGTATGCCTTTTGTTCAATTTCATAATGGTCTATTACTTTTCACAACAGGTAGGTGCTAGCATATTAAAAGAGTGGTTTAATAAGCTGACAATCATGACTCAACCAACCTAATTTACCTTACTTAATTTACCTTTTCTACTGCCGTGGCAGCCCTCCATTCCAGCCAAAGCAGCCCCACACCATACCCCAGTCACACCATTCCCATCCCTGCTTTCGTCTGTGCCTCTGCCCATCTAAAATTCTCTTATTTCACTCTGCCCGTGGAAATCCTGTGAATCTGTCAAAAGCCAACTCAAGTTCATCTTTCTTCACGATGCCTTCCCTGAATATTCTGGCCCTCCTGGGCCCACTTCCTCTGTGTGATTTGTCACCATTTCTTAGAGGACATGGTGAAGCATTTCCCCTTCCCTGAAAACTTAAAACTGTGGCAAACAATTTTTTTAAAGACGGCTACCCGAGACAGAAACCCCTGGGTCAGCACATGAAACAGAGCAGAGCTGTAAGGACCAATGGCTCCCTGCTCCATGAGACAGGAACAGAACCTGGTGGAATGTACAGGTTGAGGGGCCTTATCTGGATGCTCAGGCCCAGAAATGTTTTTCAGATTTTCCAGATATTTCAAATTTTGAAATATTTGCATTATACTTACCAGCTGAGCATCCCTAATCTGAAAATCTGAAATACAAAATGCTCCAGTGAGCATTTCCTGGGAGTGTCATGTTGGTGCTCAAAAATTTCAGACCTTGGAGCATTTTGGATTTCAGATTTTCAGATTAGGGATACTCAACCTGTATTAACTTACCTAAAGAAAAACATGTCTCTCTGCAGGAGGCTGATCAGTAGTAAAAGCATAGAAAAGGTGAAGAAGAGACCAGGGTGGGCAGTGTCCATCCTAACATCGCACGAGAGTACCCACAGCCTCAGGTGGCAGACGTGGGGTCAGGCCCACTGCTGAGACTGTGCCTAGGGGGAGATGGGCGCATCCGGCCACCTCAGCCCTTTCCGTTAAACTCTGGATTCAGCTGATTCCTTTTGTTCTAATTCCCTTTTCACTGAGTAGCTTTCTGAGTGCACTTGAGTGTGCCACGGAGGCCTCTGTCTACAGAGAGTTTGTCTTTGGAGCAGATGTATTTCTCATTGACAAGGCATAATCTGGAATTCTGATTTTGGTCAGTCTTGTGATATTGGTATGGTGAGACTGCTCCAAAAGGAAGAAGTGAATTCTCTCTTGAGGACAGAGTCTGATTTCAGAGCCCAGGAAGCAGGGACCAGCATGGGGTCAGTTTGTCAAGGCCTCAGGAAGACAGTCCCTGGCCATTACATAGACAGTACCCTCTGCATCATTTCCAGGTGGTATGTGGCCTTTTGCTTTTTTTCCTGAAATTCCTATAAACTCCTCTACTGCTTTTAGTTTCCATGTACAGTTTAACCTTATATTTGTATTTATATCTTTTCATTATTTCCTTACCCCACTTAGATGATAAGCTTTTTGAGGATAAGGTAGCATGCAGTGTTTTACCTTTAGTAGACAAGGCATTTACAGGAAGAGGGATGTGGCATTATGTTAATTCCACAGTGAAGAATAATGCAACCTAATATTTATTTGAATTAGCATGTGGAGTCTGGCAACAGACAATCCAAATGTTCCTAAGACTTTTGAAATGTCACCTTTTAATATGCTAATCAGTGGAACAAAATGAATAAATGGTAATAGAACAGCTCTGCCTAACTATTTGGGTGACAAATAATGGCAGACCCCTATTTCTCACGTTAAACATATTTCAGTACATGTAAAAAAAGAAAAGTATTAGAAAGAAAATAGAAGCAATATTTTTATAATCATGTGATGAAAAGGAGCTTTCTATGCCTGATAGTGCAGGCAGAAACCTTTGGTGGATTTGACCACCTGGTCTGTGAGACCACTGGCAAACTTAGCCCTGAGGAAGGCCAAGCATGGGATGGAGAGTTTTCCACATACTGTCTGGTTTAATCCTCACGATCCTGTTAGGAAGATACCATCATCTTCTTGTACAGATGGAGATCAACTTAAGGCCCCAGTAGCAAAGCCAAACACAGAGCCCAGGTTCCGCTGACTGCAAAGCCTGCATTCTTTATTACCACTGTTCCGTTCCGCCTCCTTAAAGACAAAAACACGGGGAAGTATTTGAAACATTGAAATACAATGAAGAACTTTGAAAGGATTCACATATTTAATATAAATAGAGTGTTATAAATCAACAAGAAAAAGACAAAAAATCCAGTGGAAAAGAGGACACGAAGGCTATGACGAGCAGGTGTGATTATAGTCTGAGTCATCCCATCAGCGGCCCTCACCCCACGGCTTACCTGGTGTGGGGCTTGGGAAGGAGGCCTTCATCAAACCCACAGAATGAAGATACTCTCTGATATTTTCTCCTAGTACTTTGATGACATTGTATTATTTAAATTTTTTAACCCATATGGAATTTGTTTTATTATTTGTTTTCTAGTATGGTTGAGGTAGAGGATCTTTTATTCTCCTACATGAAAATCCAATTGTTTTAAAATAATTTTTATTGAATGATTCATTCTTTCATCACTGATCTAAAATACCATCTATATCTGAAATCTGTTCTCTTCCACTGATCCAGTTGTCTTTCTATACCAGTACCAGCATTATACTACTTAATTCCAGTTGCTTTGTGACATATTTTGAGTTAAATATTTGGCAAGCTCCTTCTCTTTGGTCTTATTTTTTTCATACATTTCATAGCTATTCTTGCATATTTTGTCTACCAAACGTCAGCTAGCCAGTTTTTGTAAACACTAACATGGGATTGGAAGAGGATAACATTAAATTTGTAGACTAATTTGAGAACTGTCATCTTTACATCATTCTGGGAATATGGTGTACCTCATGGCGTGTATTCATTTCTTCCTAATGTCCTTCAGAAGAGTTTTCATGTTTGTATCACATAGATCTTACATCTCCTGTTAGGTAAAAGATCTTTGTATCTCTGTTACTAAATATTTTATACATTTCTATTGTGTTTGTAAATGGGATCTTTCTTCCATTTTCTAATTAGTTATTGGTGGTACATAGGAAAGCTATTGAGGTTTGTGTGCTGATATCTTGATTTTGTATAGAACTACCTTACTGAATTTTCATATACTTCCAATAAAAAGTTGATTCTTTTGGGCTTTTTAGGTTGTCTGTCATTTCATATGCAAACAAAGATACTTTTGTCTCTTCCTTTCCAATGCTTACAACCTGTTTGTTTTTCTTATTGCATTGATCAGGAAGGACCTCCTTGACAATGATGAATAGCAGCAATAATTACAGGCATCCTACTCTTGTTCTTGACTTTAAAACAATGCTGTTGTTTAGGTTTGTGGTAGATACTTTGATCAAGTCAAGGATGTTTCCTTATTTTTTTTTCCTACTTGTAAGAGTTTTTATCAGAAATTACTATCTAAAACAGTCAATAAAATGTATTAAGTGCCAGCGGCATACAAGACCCCAAGTTAGACACAGTTGGCCCTCTGCATTGTTGGGTTCCACATCTGCAAATTCAACCAACTAGTGGATCAAAGTATTTGAGTTAATAAAATAAAATAAAAAATAGAGTGTAATAACATAGCATTTACATTGTATTAGATATTATTAAGTAACGTAGAGATGATTTGAGGTATATAGGAGGATATACATAGGTTATGTACAAATACTGTACCATTTCATATAGGGACTTGAGCATCCTTGTATTTTGGTATTGGAGGGAGGATGGATCCTGGATCCAGTCCCCTGCAGATCCCAAGGAAAGAGTCAAAGAAACATTAAACAGGATGGAATTCCTATCTTCAGGCCAGGCGCAGTAGATGTTCATGGCTGTAATGCTAGCGCTCTGGAAGACTGAGGGTGGAAGACTGCTTGAGGTCAGGAGTTCAAGACCAGCCTGAGCAAGTGCAAGACTCCATCCCTACTAAAAATAGAAAAATTAGCCAGGCATCGTGGCATGCACCTGTAGTCCCAGCAACTTGGAGGCTGAAGAAAGAGGATCACTGGAGGCCGGCAGTTTGAGGTTGCAGTGAGCTATGATTATGCCACTGTACTCTAACCACAGCAACAGAGTGAGATCCTTATCTATTAAAAAATAAAAAAATAAATAAAAATAAGTTACCCCACTGGGTATGTAAGACTTAAAAGGAATGAACAAAGATTTGGAGATAGTGGCCATTACGATGGATAATCATGATCGTTTTCTTCCAAAACAGATTTATTCTCACAGAAGAGCGTCACAGGGAGATTTAGAAGGATCCTCAGGGAGGTAAATATTGGTCTGGCAATTTTTAAATTAGAATTTTAGAACTAGAGGAGAACCTAGAATTCATCTATTTCAATCCCCTCATTTTACAGTGAGGAAACTGCCAGAGGCAGGACGAATACTTACTTACCCTAGTGCTTTGCCTGGCTCCAGCAAAATTAGCTCCCCAGCCAAAGCTGAGTTGGACAGGACTGGCAAGGACGCATCTGCTGTCACCAGTCCTTCAAGGGGAGGTGGGGGGGTTGTGGTTGTGTCTGTCCCTGCTGGTGGTGGGCATCAGGCCAGGCCCGGAGGCCTTTTCGTAGGCTCTGGGGAAGAGATAGGGAAGGCCACATGATATGGGGGCAAGGGAGCCAGTCTCCTTCAAGGCTGATGGAAGGTGGAAGATATGAATCCTCCCCCTAGAGTGGCAGGAAAACCTACCTTCTCATCCTACTGATTTTCAGGACCCCCCTCTCTATTCCTTTTACCTCAACCTCATAGAATTTTAACTAGGAGAGGCCTTAGACAATAGTTTGTCTCCTCCTTTTATAAGAATGAAATAGAGACAGAGAAAGGGAAATAATCTTGCCCTGTGGTCACACAGCTAGTGAGTGTCAGAAAGGGAGTAGTCCCATTCCAGCTGAGGGCTTCTCCCTTGATTATACTCTACTTGGGCTATGAGTTGCATTTTATATCACAAATCAATACACATATGCTGTGTAAATATAAGTAGTTTCTAAAACAATGCACTCTGATTTGTTTCCATTCTGTTCATATTCAAAAAGAATATTTTGTCCTTTAAGCTGATTTCACAGCTCACTCCTCAGTGATGGCCTGCAGTATGAAAATCTGTAAGACAGATGACTTTGCTAACTAGACCCAGGCATTTGCTTGATGTGACTCAACTTACAGGACAAAGCTTCTAGGAAAATAGAAGCACTTTATCCCTCACTCCCCAGCAAACGCTGCATGTGGGACTAAGGTGGAAAGGGACTGATGTAAAATGCTTCTGGAGAGAGTAAAATACTTCTGCCCTGTATGGTTGTATGCTTTGTTCCTGCACAAGAGCACTTGGCCAAGGTGGGTGAGTGGGACTGAAAATCCTGCCTATATTCAATGCCAAGCCACACACAAAGATCTCCCCAGTGACACTGTGGGGCCCTCTTGGACATACATGGAGAGCTTCTGGAATCCAGCACACATGGAATTATTTTCAGGATTCCAGGTCTGTAGTGATGTTGCTCACTGTGATTATGGACCAAGGTACATGTTTAGCCCTAATAAGACCAGAGATGTACATCGTGAGAGCCCTTGAAAATGGCAAGAATCACTAATTGTCTTGTGTGTGTGTTTCCCCCCAAGGGGCTTTTTCTGGTTCTGGCGGCCACTTTGGCTTAGGGATATGTACAGACCTCTCAATGCCACACGCCAGAAAAACATGGCAGAGCAGCTGCACGACAAGGAGTCTTCTGAAGAGGAGGAGATTTTCAACAAGGATGCTGGGTAAATGGCTGGGGACTATTTAGAATCATATCTAAAATGAGGAATAATGAAATGTGTAATTGCTCTTTCAAGAGTAAAAACCTTGGCATTGTCTTCCTATCCCAGGGAGCTCTCTGAAGTTGTAGTGACCACACCGGTGGAGTCGGCTACCGAAGCTGAGGAAAGTGAGAACCCGCCAGAGGATGAGGGGGATTGATAGTGACCCAGCCCGCCTCAGGCCTCCTGCAAATAAATTTTTTATATATTATATATGGCTTCTCAGCATTGCTTATTAGAGACTTATTGTTCTCTTACTAAAATATATCCATTGCCAATTCCACATATATGATAACAAATTAAAATGTAACTAGTTAAATATTTATCTGCAGGTAACAAAGCCCATAGGAAAGAAAAACAGGACTGAGGCCAGAATCCCTGGTGCTGGGCAACACTCCCACAAGGGCGGTGTTGACAGAGGACTCACAGGGCTTCTCCACTTCATTTCCCAGTCTAATCAGTCTCCAGGAACCTGAAAACATATCATCCTCAAGGGGGGAGGTTGATTTTTAAATCAAATACAGTTGTTCTGGGGCTCTTTCCCTTGGTTCATCAAGAACCAGTCATTTATGACATGCTTGGCCTCCTGCCCACAGGGGGTCGGTCCACCTTCTGGCCCCTCTCATAGGGTCAGCGGGGTTCCCAGAATGTCTAGATCGCTGAGCCTCCCTGAACTGTAGGGCCGAGTCCTGTGTTTCATCCCAAGCCCTCAAACTCTTGTATGAATATGTGTCCTGTCTTGGTAGGGAGTTCTCCACCCTTTAAAGCTAGAAAATTCACATTGGTTTTTTGTTTATTTTTTCCTTTTAAAAATCCCAACCCTTGGATAGCTAGCAGGGAGGTGCTGGGGGGATAAGGTGAAGAAGAAAGTATGAGAGCAGTAATTTCCCAAGACAGCCCTCCTGCGGCCTTTATCGCAGAAAACGTGTTGGAGGGGCTGCTTCTCCACTCACACGTTCTGCCCTGACCCTCCTGCACCCCCAGCACCGCCCAGCACCAAATTTACGCTCTTCCTGCCTCACCCATGCAGATCCATGGCTGCCTTGTTCCAAGTGAATAACGCAAGTGCAACTCTGCAGAAGATGCAAGGGTTCCTCTGCTCCACCTTTAAAAAGTCATTAATAAATCATATTTAGTAAGTCGATGAGAATTAAGCACATTAGTGAGTAAAAGAAAATCCTAATAAACAAGAAATGATCGTCTACCTAACGGAATGAATGCTGGCAGTTCCATGATAATAGATGAAGAACTGTGCACACCACAGAAGAACAGCACAGCAACCCCCAGAGGCTCCAGCCATCCAGCTAGGGAGCAGCCCAGCATGTTTGCTGGTGAGGGGTCTGGCAAAGTGAACGGCCCTCAGTTCCCCACCTGGCCGATCCATTCACCAGTGCTGGGCAAGAGACACACCTGTTGTCTTGATGCCTGCCCCAGTGACCTCCCAAAGTTCCTTACTAAGAATGAGAAACAAGTGTCCTTCTTTGTGTGTTGACTTCAGTGAGCCATCAAACATATACTGAAGGCCCGGTGAGGTAGCTCATGCCTGTAATTCCAACTCTTTGAGAGGCTGAGGCAGGAGGATCACTTGAGGCCAGGAGTTAAAGACCAGCTTTGGCAACATAGTGAGACCCTGTCTCTACAAAAAATAGAAAAATTAGCTGGGCTGGTGGAATGTGCCTATAGTTCCAGCTACTGGGGAGGCTGAGGCAGGAGGATGTCTTGAGCCCAGGAGTTTGAGGTTGCACTGAGCTATGATGATGCCACTGCACTCTAGCCCATGCGACAGAGCAAGACCCTATCTTGACAGAAAACATTTACTGAATTTAAAGCAGAAGACCAAATAGTAATAATTGTAGGAAGCAGCAGCAGCGGCAGCCACCATTTACAATTTGCTTACTTGGTGCCAAGCCCTAGGTTAGGCATTTTATAGCCTTATATCATTTAGCCCAACAATCCATGGAACCATCATCATTTGACAGATAAAGAAATGGCTCTAAGAACATAGGCCACATATCCAATACTATGAGTTAGTGTTTTAATCCAGGACTGTTAGACTCCCAAGCCTCTTAACCATTAGGCTTCTGTGCTGTAGGATATAGAGAGATAGAGAAGTAGAACCCATGATTGCCATCCAAGAGTCAATAACAATAATAACAACAATACTGATGGTGAGAGTGATGGCTGCTACTGTTACTGGGCACCAGCTATGGGCCACCTACAGTACCAAGCTCTTTAGTTACATGGTTAAGTCACAAGAATGGAAACTCCATATGCCAGCTCAAACTCTATAATGGGGTGGGGTGTTGATATTTTTAGTGAGTGCTAGACATAAACAGGAAGCTGACAATAAAGCAAGACTAGAAATCTTATACTTCTAGGCTTCCCAAGATCTGGACCAGGATTCCAGGCAGCTCTGGCTTCCTATTTTGGCATATTTACATTATTTCAAATTTGGTACACAATGTGAGGCTCAGATAGTTTTTATGTAACAGTATCTCAAACTTGTATAATGCTTATTAGTCTCCAATGCCGCCCTACCATATTTCTAAATTAAAACTACCAAGAGTGAGATTCTGCTTTGCCTAGCTTGTCCTAGATTGGGCAGAGTTTTGCCTGAGCCCAGCGTCTTCAACTGGCCAGCCTGTGGATAAGCTGCCTCTCCTTGAGCCAGGTACACATCCCTGGCTATAGCCTAGAAGGGGAAGGGGTGCCCAGGTCAGGTGGTATGAAACATGCCCGCCTCCATTTTTACTGGTGGGCAAGCCACAGCTCAGAAGGCCAGCTCCCAAGGGAGACCTGAGTGATAGAGGTGAACACAAAGCCAACAGCTACTAAATGAATGAAAATCCTCACTGATTGCAATGAAACCTCTCAGAAAAATGTGAGGTATTTTTTGAAAGATGATGAAATGAGGCAATGCATGATTACAGCAATAATAATATGGAGAAGAAAGGTAGCAGTTCAGAGGAGGGAAGGTTAGGTGACCGGGGGAGAGTCCATGAAGAAGATGGAACTTGCGCTGGAGGATCAACCTCTGGGAGGTTCACTCACTCGCACACTGGCGAGTTGTCAGAGGCCTCGGTTCCTCCCCACGGAGCCTGTGCACACGCTACTTGATGGAAGGTCCTCACAGCATGATGGCTGGTGTCCTCCACAGTGAGTGATCTAAGTGACAGAGCCAGCACCATGCAGAAGTTATCCTTTTCATGATCCAGCTTCAGAAGACACATAGCCTCATTTGCGACACAACATAGATAGAGGTCAGTCACTAAATGTAGCCCACATTCAAGAGGAGGGGATATAGTCTCCACCTTTTGAAGAAAGAGCTTGTGGACATATTTTAAAACTACCTACATATAAAAAAGCGAACTGTTTTTCTCTACTACTCTCATCCTTAGTACTTCACTTCTGACATCAAATTGGGGGAGGGGTGGTCCCCACACCAAGCAATTGTGGACATTGACTAGGTGTCATACAATCCAATTCTGACACTAACCAGAGTTAGCGTGAGACTCCACATGCTAAGGGTTCAGTCCTACAAAACTGCCCCCTCTTCAGATGTCAATCAAAAGTCCCAGATGTCACCTGTGCTCCTGACCAACCGGCTATAAATTGGAGGTTCCCACAACTCCAACCTCAGGTTCTATCATTTTCCAAAAAGGTTCAGAGAATCCAGGAAAACAGTTTATTTACTATTGCAGTGGCATAATCACAGCTCACTGCAATCTCAAACTCCTTACCTCAAGTGATCCTCCTGCCTTAGCCTCCCAAGAAACTGGGACTATAGGTACACACCACCACACCCAGTTAATTTTTCTATTTTATGTACAGACAAGGTCTCACTTTTGCTCAGGTTGGTCTCAAACTCCTAGCCTCAAGTGATCCACCCACCTGAGCCTCCCAAATAATTTCAATATATTTTCAATATAAAAATGACCAATTGGATATTTTACCTTCTCTTTTTTCACAAGAGTTTTTTTAAGAGTTTGAAACTGAGAGTATATTTTATATTTATAATACATCTCAATTCATTCTGGTCTATTATAAAAGTTTAATGGCTACATATGGCTGGAGGCTACCATACTGGACAATGCAGGTCTCAAACAGTGTTTTCAAACTTTAGTTTGCATCAGAATCATTGGAGGGCTGTTAAACACAGATTGCTGAGACCCATCCCCAGTTTCTCATTCAGTAGATTTTGGCAGGGTCCAAGAATGTACATTTCTAATAAGTTCCTACATGGTGATGATGCTGTTGATCTGAGCATAAATGGTGTGAGAACCACTTATTTAAAAGCTAGAGCAGTAAGAAAAAGCAGAGAAAAAAATAGGAGCCAGGGATATGCAAAAGCAAGTGGTTAAAAACTAAAAGGGCACAAAATAACAGTGAGACACCACTACACACCTACTAATTGAAAATACTGACAACACTGAATACTGATGAGGATATGGAACAAGAACCCTCATTGCTGGAATGCAAAATGGTACAGCTAGTTTGGAAGAGTTTTTCAGTTTCTTACGAAACTAAACATACTCGGCCGGGTGTGGTGGCTCACTCCTGGGAGGATCGCTTAAGCTAAGGAGTTTGAGACTAGCCTGAGCAAGAGTGAGACCCCACCTCTACTAAAAACAGAAAAAATTAGCTGGATGTGGTGGCACATGCCTTGTAGTTCCAGCTATTCTAGAGGCTGAGGCAGGAGGATAGCCTGCCCCCAGGAGTGTGAGGTTGTTGTGAGCCATGGCACTCTAGCCCAGGCAACACAGAGAAACTCTGTCTCAAAAAAAAAAAATAAAAATACCCTTACCATATGATCCAATAATTGAGCTCTTTGGTATTATAGCCAGATGAATAGTAAACTATGTTCAAAATAAAAACTTGTACATTAATGTTTATAGCAGCTTTATTCATAATTGCCAAAACTTAAAGACGTCCTTCAGTAGGCAAATAGATAAATAAACCGTGGTACATCCAGACAATGAGATATTATTCAGTACTAAAAAGAAATGAGCTATTAAGCCATGAAAAGATGTGGAGGAACTTTAAATTCATATTGTAAAGTGAAAGAAGCCAATCTGAAAATGCTACATATGATTCCAACTATATGACATTCTGAAAAGGACAAAACTATGGCTATGGAGATAGTAAAAAATCAGTGGTTGCCAGGAGTTAGGAGGAGAGAGGGATGAACAGGTGGAACATAGAGATTTTTAGGG